TCATTTAATGTTTAAGTGCAGTTTAACGGAGAGGTTTGAAAACACTGTCTAAAATGTGACATTTTAATTAACAGCTGATAGCTTCAGCCAGAATGTTAAATAAGCCGGGAGATTTGTAGGAACAGCTTCTTAATGGGAAGAGAGGGTTGAATTTACTGGATAGGATGAAGAAAAAAAGGCCAACCAGACTGCTGGTGTAAAGAAGGACACATCAGTCTGTGCACTGTGTGTATCTCAGGTTTTAGAGCTACCAGACATCAAGCCAGAGCCATTCAGCTTTCCCTCCTGCCTTTTGGCTCTCACAGGTTCCTGCCAGACAGACACGCAGATAATTCAACTCTGACAGTGAAGTATCCTCCCCAGACCTGCACAAGAACATTCTCAAACACCGTCGCCGGCACAAATCTAACGCTCCTTCAGGGTTTGAAGAGGGAATCATTAATGCTTTTTGTGAGCTCACAGTAACGTGACACTTGGTCCTGTTTGGTAATCAGGCCCAGGGAGAAGCTCAGAGCGCAGGAATATAAAAAGACACAACCTGGCTCGGTCTGAAAAAACAGCTTTGCAACATTTATTTTCACGGCTAACCTGCAGCCATGTTCTTTAGTTAGCTCTGCAGGGACTTCCCTTTGGTTTTTTAATCTGAGTTGACACTCTGTTACTGCTGTACACACCCCATGAAAGCCGACTGAATGCACAGGGATGAGCTTTTATTCAAATGTCACAAGCATGTTATGAAACAGAGAACACCTCGAGTGTGATTACATGTTGTTACCTCAGATAGATGTCTCATCTGGAGGCTCTCTGCTGCCAAATTTCATTTTCACTGAGTCTCAGTCAAAAACCATTAAAGCCTCCAGAGAAAAACCGCAAAGGACCCGACTTTATAAGAATTATCCACTTTTTTATGAGCAACAGAGGAAATAAGCAAGAGTTAGCACAGTTTTCCTTTTTCATTATGACTCTCCAAAGATTTGCAAAGTGTTTTCTGCTCAGACTGAGCTGCAGCATCTCTGGCATACTGGGAAAACAGTCATCAAATTTAATGTTTATGCAGAGCATCTGAGAGCTTTGTTTCAGAGGATCGACTGCAAGAAAAGTGATTTTTCTAGTTTTCTGTGCTATTTTTTCATCTCAATCACAATTATGTGATTCAAAACAGCCCTAATTGCTTGTAAGAAAGAATGAATGATATATGTTTTAATGAAATTATCTACTTGTTTGCTTCTTGGCATCTAATCAGTGTGACATGACCTTGGATATAATCACAGCTCAAAGGACACCTAATAATATTCACATGGTCTAAGTGCACATCTATTATAACACACTACATGATCCCTTTAACAGTTATTTCCCAAACGGTCTCACAAAGTGGCCTCAGATCTCTGGAAAAACTCATCCATGTTCACTTATTAACACTTATTTTCTTCAGTGTCTTAAAACTGCTGAGGAGATTTCACCAGAAACCAGAGTAAGCGTATCTCAATGTGACTAAATTATTCATCCTGCTTTGGCAAATTATATCTCTGAACCCTCAAACTCAGCACTTACTGTTGATGAGCTTTTTTCAAGTTAAATACTAAAAAAAAAAAAAAATCAGTTTAATCTGAGAGTCACCCGGTCAAAGAGAAATATTCGAGGGATGAAACTTTTCAGCAGGAAATACAGATTTCAATCTAAAGATGTTCCACACTTGGATTTGTACATAAGCTTGTAGTCTCATTACCAGTGGTCTTTTCTTGTGGTACAGAGCTTGTGTGCAGAGCTATATGCAGAGCGTGTTGAGTAAATGTGCAATGCGTAACATGCAAGAAGCAGATTTATGAAGTAGAAGGTGAAATCCTCTCCACAGCTTCTTGGTGTGTTTGACTCATGTTCCTCAGTTTATTAACCTTTAGGGAAAGGCAGCTTCACTTTTTTCTTTTCTCAATAATGTACATAACAAATATAAAAAAACAAACAAAAAAAAACACCGGACTTCAGGGAGAAACAGGTTTGTGAGCTTTATAGGGAATGATTGAACTGTTATGTTGTTTGATTAAAGCAAATTAAAATGCACAGCAGACTCTTTGTTCATCTCATACTGATGAAATTAGGATTTAATAATGGAAATGAATGGATAACAAACAAGTCTAATTTGATTCTCTTTAGTGAATCTGCCAAATGTTGAGGACTTAATATCGAAAACTCCAGCTGTAAACAGAGTGGCTTAAAGCTCTCATGAGGAACTTTGGTTTGTTTGGCTTTTGGCGCCTCCCTGTGGACAAAGGGATACTGCATTAACCTTTCTTATGCTTTGATCTTGCCTTGTATATGTTTACTCTCTATGAATATTTGGTACAAAGGGACAAAGGCAGTTTCACTCGTGTTTCTTGTTGACTTAAATTACCTCTTCATATCTACTTAAGGATGGTTGTATTTTCCAGAGAGGCCCACAGTGGATGAACCAACTGAGCTGAAATGTTTTGTAGCCACAGAGTTCCTCCTCCACACTTGTTACCCTGATAATGACCTGAAACGGTCCCCTTTGTCTCTCCATAGAGTCTGAGACAAAAGGGAAAGCGAGCTGGCTTTCACACTTCTGCCTTCATGTCTGGAGTGGAGGCTGACATTAAACTTGAATCAGAGTTCATAAATGTGCCATGCTGCTGTTATCAAGCTCTTCATTATGTATTTTCCAGGTTTCAAAGTTCCCCGCCTTTTTACTTTTTCATGCCCTCTGCACACTCTGTTTGGCACTGACGTGTGCAGTCTGTTTAACGTCCCTTCAAGATTGAGCAGTTTCTATTATTCATGCCTCTGATGGATCCACATGATCCCATTAGTTTCAAACACTGGTGAGATGTCAGAGACAAGCTGTCTGTGACCAAATCTGTAAGCCTGGGTCAGGAGGACACTGTGAAAGCTTGTTTTAGCAGGATAACAACAGCTCAGCTGCCAACAAGAATAGCTGTGTTGTATTTCCAATGAGGATCATTTGAATATATAAACAAAGCACATGTAGATTGTATGTTTGTCTGAACGTGTGTTTATATAAGTAGGTAGAAATACACAAAATACCTGCATTCATAGTAAAGTCATGCCACCTGTATGTGACTTTTTTGTCACAAGTCTTTGACGTGTGGACAGAAAGACCCAAACTAGAGCTGCATGAAGGCATTTATAGTTGGTTAAGAGCTACTCCATCAGATCAGAGTGTGCATCCAAAGCTACTATGAGTAGTTTTTAAAGTTTAAGAAATAAATTAAAATATATATTGATGCTTTTTTATGATATCCAAAAGTGAACTAGAGCATCAGGGACAAGACTGCCTATCTTAAAATCATAATTTTTAAAGCCTGAAACCTGTGTGAGGGAGAAGGGGAAGGTGTGAGCCAAGCAGCAGCAGAAACATCCCTGTTTTTACAATCTCCACACTACACATTTACCGTAAATAATACACTTGACTGTCAATGTCAGCAGGATGAGGTTTGCTAAAGAAATTAGGCAAAGTTAAAAAGTACTATATGTACTGTTGATGAAGTTAGGTGCTGTTCTGAGCATAATTTGTGGCAATAGAGTGGCTTTTCGGTTGAGCGCGTGGCTCCTGGGACTGCTATGTATTGCTATTCTGTGGTTGTAACTAAAGTTGGTATAACTAGAGAAGCAAGTGGTCAGCAACATTCATCTCTCGATGGGGTGTCTAACTCTGTGTTAAGGTGTGTTTGACCCTAACTTATTTTTACACTGGCGTATCCCTTTAAGGATGTAGAGGACAAGATCAGCAAAAACTGCCTTGTCCACTTTAACTAAACTGCAATTTAAAAAAATGGGGGAAAACGTCCTTAGCCTCGGGTCTTGACCTGTATCAAATGTTTAGATTCTCCTCTATGAGTATCACCATCTTTGTTCTTGACACAGTTGATACTTGGAGACGCGCCCTCCTCTGATTTTGATTGGTCGGTGGGGAAGATTGATGATGATGGTGGATTGGTGTCCGATGTTGAACTTTTGTTAGCTGAGAGCACACAAACAAAAACCAGCTGATAGTAAGAGAGTCTTTGTGCTGAGAATGATGAACACTGAAAACTGACTCGGTATTTTCACTGCACCATAAAAATGAGACTGGTGGATACAGGCCCTAATTTTGTCCAACTTTTTGGTTGCTTTTAATTTTATCCAGGATTTTCTTTGTGAAAATATCTGTGAACTGTATTCAAATATAACCTTCAGAGAAAAACCACTCAGTTTTTAAACTATCATTTTAGAATTTGAAAGTGTATGTATGCAAATGATTTTACTGGTGCACAGGTGTGTATGATAATATCAACAAGGCTGGATTACAATGTGCTGCTTCAGTCCTGCTAGTTTGCATCCTTTTTAGCATTCAGGATGAATAGGTATCCTTGTATGAAACAGCTTTAGCTAGAGTTGTTAGAAACACCTATTTGATAAAAAGGCCCTAGGAGACTCAGTACTTCTGTAGGTGTTTTCAGCTTTTAGGAAACTTAGATTTACTGTGAAGCACTCAAACTTTTCAAGACTTTTCACATTCATTAACCAAACAAGTACAGCCACTTCTTGTTCTTGCCTTGCGAAGCAAAAGTGCCACTCAATCCACCCTCATACACACACACGGACCACACACACACAAACACTCACACACCCACATAAATGAACTTAGGTGCTGCCTGACTTAGTATACTGAGGAATGAGACAAAACACAAATCCTGGCTCATCTGACGCAGTAACCTGCCAGTTCACAAAGTCACACGTCACTTTGTAGCCTGATATAGACCCGAGACAAAGGCGTGGATGAAACTCGAGCTAGCCTGTCTCCTTTATGTTGCCATGACGACAGCAGCCGTAACCAATGCCTATTTGGCAGGGTGAAAAAAAAGGCTCAGAGGACCTGTGGCTAGAGGCCCCACCCACTTTGGGAATTTTCAGCTCTTACCTGGCAACCCACAGTCAATACAATCAGCTTATGTAACTTGGAACGAGGTTTATACATTCACAGTATTTAATTCTCCAACTCCCCAAACCCTCTTCTTCTTCTCATTCATTTTTTTCCTCTTTTCAAATTCATTCCCATCTCTGTCCTGTGTGGCCTTTTCACCACACAACTGGATGCGGTTCAGGGCGTGTTGCCTTCGCTGGCAGGTGTAGAAGCAGGTTGAGCAGGTTGTTCCCTGAATGCCACTCTGCTGAGCCCTCCTCTTTCTCTCTCTTTCTCTTTCTCTCTCTCTCTCTCTGCAGGCCGAACGCTGATTCACTCTCCAACGTTGGCAGCTCAGTGAAGAGATTTTGTTGCCTGTGCACCTGTTCTCATCTGATATAGCCTAAGAATAAGGTAAGGATTTACTGAGGAGGGATTTAAATCTTTGTCTTATTTTCTTCTCCAAGAAGTTTGTGGGGCTGTAAACTGGGTGATAGATTTTAGTCTAAATATGTTTAACAAGATTAGAGTCACTGTTTTGTTTGAGAATCCTAAATAACTTTAAAGAAATAACTTTATTTAAGAACAAAAACGACCATAAAAAGGTCTTCTGGAATTTTCTAAAACTTGAAAACACTGAAAAGTTACCCTTAAATATTTAAAAAGCTCTATATTTGGCTAAACCTGTCAGTTTTTGCTATCGGGTCTGTTTTTAAAAGAGTGAAAATAGAGCGTTAGAGGCAGAAATATTTTTTCTTCTTCCGCTTGAATGTTAAAAGAGTTTTTTCTCTGGGTGCCAAAACATCTCAACAATGAGTGACATACATACAGTAAGACCTTACACAACCCAAACAGGGGATTTCACTCACTGTTTCAACACCAGTATACGTCAGCTTCATAGTAATATAGACTCAAATAAAAGGCCCCTTGAGTTCAGTGATTGATGGGCCCCTGTTGACTCTCTGTAAATAATACAACAGAGAGTTTAGTCTCGATCTTCTTGTACAAAACTAAAATTCGCTCAAAAATAGACACATATTGTGGAACTGTGACAAAAATGGAGTTTGCAGCATCAAAATGATTTACTAAATTAAAAAAAAAGTAGTTAAAAACTGCAAAACGCTTCATCACAATAAAAAAAAAAGAGTTTGGGGTAAGTAAATTTAGATGATATTATCTGAGATGTTGATAAAATCTGACTTTAAAAGTGTTCTTATTTTTGAATGACTGTTCTCTGAATAATGTTACTTAAATTATTATAATATACTTTAAAATGAACACAAAAAAGTACTTTTGGAGTATTTGAAGGCAAGCTAATTAAGAGAGACAAAATCAATACTTAAACAAAGCTGCGGTACACCTGTTTTAATTATGTTATATAATGGATGTTATACATCCATTAAAAATGATCCACAGGCTTCAGATGCTGCAGTGTCATTATGTGATGTAACATCACATCATCATCAATATTTTGAGACTGTTTGTGGTTGAATAAATAATTGAAAGTGGATCCAGGAATTTTAAAAGAGAGGACTTTGGTTATCCTGGAAAGATAGGAAAAGTAGTATAAAGGGGCTGTGATACAACAAAAGGGGGAAAATATCAAGTTTAGTGAAAACGACTCTTCCGTAAAGCTAAAAAAATGTAATACAAAGCTACTTTTTTCCTTTTTTTATTGAACATGTGCTTTTTATTGAAATATATTTTGTATGGAGTTGCTTTCACTGAGCTCAGGTGAGGGCCTTCACATGGTGTCTGACGTAAGACTCATTGTTAACTATGTAAGTGATATTACTCTTTTATTGTTACACCATAATGAGGGTGAGTCTGCATAATTTTACCTGCTCTTTTGTGAACCAGTCTTATATAAAAGTCCTGTTACTCGATTAAAGAGACAGCATTTTGGATTCAGTTTTAATTTTAATTTAAAGTCTTGAATGAATTAAGAAGAAACTATATTTACACAGACTTCTAGATAATGATGGTGAAATATAAAGCAAATCATTTCTATTTTAAAAGTAGCCAGACTACAGATACAGAGAAACAAGTTGAATTGATGTTTTGATATCCCTACATATTTCTGAAAGTCCCCGCTTTGCTTTATCTTGTCTCTACCTTTTTAACTCTGCTAATTTTGTCCTGTACATACGTAAGTAGTGTTTTCAAATGTCCTGCTTTCTTCTTACAACTGTAAAAAGTATCAGTAAGTGTGGTACATTTTGTAGGAAATGAAAACAAAGACTTCTTTTGCAATGCACTTTTGATTACCTCGTATAACACCAACCCAGTGGCGTCTGTTACTGACACTGTAAAATAACTAGAGGGAAAGGTTAATATTCTTGATGCCAGTAAATTATATGGAGGCATCAGTAAAACTCTATACAGATGTTTGAATGGCAGTAATAATGTAAGATAAGATAAGATGGTAAGAAATCGCATTATGTAGATAAAATTGATAAATTCAACTGAGAGTCCATAACTGATAATCAAAGGAGTCTAAAGGAAGATTTCATTAATTGACCTCATGTGAAATGATCTAAAAATAGTAAGTTCCCACCAGGATAATATCAACTATATGAGGAGTAAGATAACTATAAGATACTGTAAGGTGAAATGTAAAGTGGTGATAGTTTAAACAAGGAGCGCAGCAGAAATACAACAGCAGAGCATCAATTGCGGCACAGTTAAATCCCAATTTACGGTATTTTGCTGTGCTACATTACATTATCTATCCTCACATTTGCTTTACCAAGACACAACTTTTACACTATTGTTATACTTGACAGGGACAATACATGCTGGATTTGTTACGTTTAATCGAAGAGTGCTGCAGTGTAAAGAGGACTTTAAGCCTGATTTACAGTTCCTGTCCCTGGTTGAAGCTCAGAACTTTACATTTTCTACCTACATTTCAAGACATTTGTTTTTATAAAGGAGAAACATGAACATAAATAGTGGAAACTTAAAGAATTACAATTTGTATTTGTATTCAAACGCACAAACAGAAGGAGCAGACCCCACTGCAGAAACGGTGTCTCTGTACCTTCTGGTCAGATGGGTCTATATAATGCAGTAGGGTATGGGAAGGTCAAAGTAACAGTTAAAATGATTGTAATGTAGGAAATGCAATAAAGTAACACAGTATAAAAATAGTGTTATATAATGACTAATGATAAACTATAGTATGATGTGATAATATTATATTCAGTCAATTTAAAAAAACCTCTGGAGCAAGAAGAACTGTCAAGTTCGCTGAACGATAAAGAAAGTAAATGTGTGTTAGAGCAGCCTGATCCAATATTCCAACTTTAATAGAGTATTATCATATTCATAGGGAGTGTGAAACCCTATATATGATCCATACATCACAAATCATATATGTGTCATTATATTATATTCTTCAGAAAGTGAAATAATGAACATTTTGCATGAACCTGTCATGTGCAAAAAAGCTTTGTTATTGTAGAGTATTTCCACAGAATTCAATTTATCTGAAATACAAGACTGAAGCAGTACAAAGTGGAAGTATAAACACCTTAAATTATCCCGAAGTACAGTTCTTTGAAACACACACAACTCTTAACAAATGTCAGTCTGTTTGGTAAAGATAGTAAGGTTGTTTGATGTGAATTTTTAACATTAAGATGGTTAATTATTGAAAACCTTAAGTTTGAAATGAAAGCGATGTACCTCGGAGAAACAAAGAAGTTCCCATGGCAGCTGTCAGATTATCGGTGTCGGTCTGCAGGTTGCAGGAGTTCAGAGCATTTACAGGATGTGTTTTTTTGTGTATCTCACTCTGTGTGTGTGTGTGAGTGTGTTGGTGTGGGTCTGGGCGTCTGTAGAGTCACGGTTGACAGGGCTGTTGAGGTGAAAGCTGTTACAGACTCTGACAGACCAGCAGACTGGGAATGATTTTCAACAGGCTGCTTTCTCTGAGTGCACAGGGTCAGAAGTGATCCCTGCCTGCCTCTTAGAGCGGCTGTGCTGGTCCACGGGGCAGAGGTGGGACGCTTCAGGCCAAATACTCGCTCAGCTGGGTGGGTTGTATGTTGTAATGTTACAAGAACAGGTGGAGGGGTGGCTCACACAGCTGTTACCAAAGTGATGAAGGAAGAGAGGATATTTTTGTGACAGATAGTGACACATTGAGTTCACTGAAAACAAGATTTACTAGTTGGAATTTCCAAAGCTCTCGCACACACAGGTAACAGAGGCATTACCAACCTCAAACAAAGAGTAATGGTGATATTATTAGCCACATTAGTCACATGAAACAAGCTGGTCTGGTGTTGTTGCCTCTGTTGATAGTGAACACGTTTACCAGCACAAATCAAAACAAACCATTCCTGTCATACCAGTTCAAAAATATCCTGTCTAATTTAGAGCTGGTTCCCAGGCTGCCTGCAGCGTCATTCCACTTGAGTTCTCCACAGGGCGTATGTGAGGATACACACCCTGACTCTGCTTGTTAAAATCTGTGATTAAATGTAGGGATAGAGAGGTGGATCAAATCCAATACAGGTCACAGCGGAGAGGGAACATCTCCGTACCAAAGCAGCAGGACATGTTGACTGTAAATGACTAAAAAAGACAGAAATAAGGGCGACAGACTCAGGCGGAGGGGCAGGGGTGGTTTTGTCGAGTTTTTGCAGTTTGTAAGAGTTCAGGTAAAAATAATTGCAAGGTAAGATTTAGGTGAAGTATTACGTGTGATATGCAAAGAAAGGTATCATAATGTATTGTAGCATTTTACCCAGAAGATGGTGCACAGGAGATACCTCATGACTTCCACCCTCTATACTGGTGGCTGGAAGTTGACTATAAGATGACATACCAGGATGAGCTACACATCTGCACAGATGCTGCATATTGCTGAATGGGGGAAGAAAAAAGTTGATATATTTTTTTTTCTCTCTCTGGAAATGCCCATGAAAAACAGACCTAATCTTTTCTATCAATAGGGTTTACATTTCATTTATCAGTACTTTGGTATTTACTTACTGCAGTAGCCCATGTATATATCCATAATTACACAACTGTAAGGGTGATGTGCTCCTACGTTTTCAGTCTGCTACATGCTTGCAATTTTTCATGATTTGTATTTTACTGCTTTTCTAATGACTTTTGTATTTAATCAAATTTTGGCAGTATTCATGTTTTTAAAAAGCAGGTTTTGTTGAGCTGTGCACTTACTGAACGCTGCCTCTCACAGATTTTCTAAAGCAGTTTTTTTTTTCTATGATGTGAAATGAGGTGAATTGAAAGGATGCTTTGTGAATTGGAAGTTACATTTTTGTGATCACACTAAGAAAGAGTAATGAAACCTGGATATTTTTATTCATAAGAAAGGTTATTTTCAGTCTCCAGTCCGGATGGAGGAAATAATAAACGCAGAAGTAAGATTTTCAATCTCATTTTTCAATTCATGTCTAATAGGCTACATGTCAATTTTTATTTTAAACTTTAGAATAAGTATCATTCTTGATTTTCTTTACAGTCACATATAAACTACAGTGATTTAGTTCCTGTCCTTTTAGATGACACAGATAACTGATGACTCTCCTGTGTAGTTAGACAGACACATTTATGTTGTCTTTATGCTGAAGTAACTTTAGGTTTGTGTTGATTTTGAACTCCCACTATGGACAAAGTGGTGGAGTCACTCTATTTTCTTTGCTGATTTAAACAAAGACGTGCAGTTTCTCACTTCATTTGATACCTAGTTTCAGGAATAAATGATTACGACATGAGATAATAAGTCACACACATTGTTATTCATTTTTAGTATTCAGCCCGAATCATAACAAGCTAAAATTCCTCACTTGAGCTTTAAATATTGAGATAAGCAGTATTTTATAATCATAAAGCTGCACTTTTTTACGGTTTGGACAGCTCAAGTATCTTGATCAGAGCTTCACTTACAGTTTTTTTTTGACTGGCAATGTCAGCTTGACAATCAAATATGAGCCGTACCAGATTTATTAAATTCTGTAGTTGCCGTAGGTAACAAAAGACAGCCCGCCTGCCAGCATATTTAACTGAGATTGACCTGGAAGAGAAACTGAATGTATTCAAAGTGTTCATTTTAGGATCAAGTCTCCTCTAAGTGTAAACTTGAGATTCTGCTCACTGAAGCAGTGCGGGCTGGAGAATATTAAGCTCTGTGCTCGGATGTTTCTCCCTGAAAACAACTCTATTTTGTCTGCTGACAGCTTGGCAGATGAGTCGAAGCACTAACCTTTGGCTTGAGAGTGCTCGGGATGCTAAAAAGCAATTTTCAAAGATGTAAACATTAATTTTTCGATGCAAGAATAGCCGTTGGTTTAATCTTGATAATCATTTGCTACTGCTACACAGTTATGAGGCTTTAATTATTCCCCACCTCCCCCCCCTGTCTCCAGCCATTTTCTTTGGTAATGCGCTCTAAGTGCTGAGTTATCAGCAAACTTATGTGAACCCTCAAAGTGTGTTCGCGCAGCAGGCTGCTGCATCAACAGCCCACAGGTTCTTCATTTATTTCACACAGAGCAAAGAAACACAAAAACACAGCCGATGTGTGGACGATAAACAAGCTTGGTGAGGAGCTGAGCACAGATGAACACTCCTGGTTTGACAATCAACACCTTGCATGTTTTCACACTTATTAAAGAACAGCAGCCTCACCTTTTGAGGTGTGAAATGAGTGAGCTGTTTGCACCTTTTTAGGCACCTTAATGTGCTTTTAAAAGGTTATGAAAATATACTTTTGATTGCACAAAGAGGAAATTATCCATGGCAGGATGAGTTTACAAAAAATGTTCTTTTTAAAATTCATTTACAGCTACTTGTTCACTCTTTAAAAAGTGTGAATATGTTTTGACAGAAATGTGAAGTCTCCAGATCCCTGTTTCCAAACCTTTGACGCTGCAGGCCACAACATTACGCTCCATAGATGGAGTCTTTGCACCGCTCGTATCAAGAATGAGCTCAGAACAAAGTGAGCGATCAGCACAGTGAGTCGCAGAGAAAGGGCCCTGCGGGGAATACAACATGAGCTGCAGTCATCTGAGTATTGGAGTGAAGCCGAGGGGAGAACACATAGCTAAGAGGGCACCTGTGTGAATTCACGCTGCCAGAAAGGCACAGATCCCACCGGAGAGTCTGCTGCACTCTGGAAACTCGCTGTGTCACTATGCGAGCATGGCGGCCTTCATGTCCCACATTCAGCACAGCATTTTCTGAGCAAGTAACTAAAGAGAAAAGGTGGAGGAGGATAACTTGTTCCAGAGCTTTTACTCTGACCTGGGCAGGTGATGCTGTGCTCCCGGAAAAAAGGGAGCAAACAGAGATGTGATGTTGTACGCTGAGTCTTTGCGAGGGGTCGGGCAGAGTTTGAAGAATGTGACAAACACAAGTTGAGCACCTGTGGCTCCTTCCTGATGGTGTTTATTCTGAACCAGCGGTAAATAAACACCATGGGCACTCAGAGGAAGATGGAAACAAAAAACAACCGTCTAAAAAACAACAAAAAAAAAATTTTTGGTTTTTGGTTTTCATCAGTGTTGTTGATGTTTTTGTCCAGCCCTGAATAGTTTTTAGACTAACTCATCATAACAAGGGGAAGGATGGTAATGATATAATTTTCCATAATTATATTTTGAAGTTGTTTCCATGGTAACGGGTGCGAGGGAGACATACTCAACAGTGAATGCACCCAAAAGTGGTCAGGAAAAAAAAAAAAAATTCTGTTTATTGTTTTTGGCAAAATAATATTTCTTTAAGTTTTTACTTGACCCAGAGCATGAGTACAAATTATAAATACAGTGAATTAATATTGAGTTTGGAACACTATAAGAAATCTCTACATTATAACAAAATACAGAATTATCAGATAAAAGTTGCCATCATACTTACTGATTCTTATTTTCCAATATGACTCGATGATGAGAGTGTCATAGCAAATTAAGAAGTTTCACATGGACAGCAAAATAAACACCGGCTTTAAGAAGTCAACATTACATCAATCAAAAGCCTTAAAGCTGTCAACAATAACACGTGAGCATACACCCATCAGATGATCCTTAATCCAAGTTCGAGCCAGTAGCTGCTTTAAATTAGCTGGTGGTAGTTATCGACTTTAATGCCCCATATTTAAATTCTGCTGGAAAATGGTGCATTTTAAAATGGGCATTAGTGGGGATTATTAAGCTTTTGAGGCCAGCCTCAAGTGGCAACTCAATGAACTGCCCCTTTTACACTCCCATATTAGTCTCACTTGTCAACGCCTGATGCTGCTGTTTGGATGCTCTAAAGATTTTACCGTCTTTGCTCTTGAATATAAACAATGTTGAGTCAATGCAAAGATGCAAATAGACGCTCCTACTACTCTTGCGGCGCGAATGACGCGAACTGAACGTGAGATGAAAATGTCTCAACTTCAGCAGATGTTTGCGATAACTAATCAGCATGAAGGTTGCCGGGTGACATATAATATGGACAGTTGTTCACCAGTATCTAAAATGGAGGACAAACTGATTGTGTTGGTGTGTGGGTGCCGCGAATTATATGACATCTTTTCTTTCAATTATTGAAATTGGAATAAAAAGGAGCTTGCCTGGAGGCAAGTGAATGAGGTGGTGAGTGAGTGGTAAATTGTAAAAAGCCTTTGTCTATCACTTGATCCCACCGGTTGAATTGGCAGGGATTACTGTTGAAATTAATGTTGACACGCAAAAGAAGCGAGTAAATACTATTCATTCACATCTAGATTTGCGAGAATGAAGTGAGAAGATGAATTTACTCGCACTTGGTGTGAGCACCCCATTACTGATCAACCAGCACTCACATCTAAACTTCAATCACCATGGAGATTTCTGGCACTTTAAAAAAACAAACAAACAATGAACTCTATAACACAAATTAAAATAATGTTCTTTCTTCTCTCTTGTGTTTCAGAGTTTAACCAAAGGGATACAAAATGAAACTGTGTTTGAAAATCACAGCGGGTCTCCTTCTGCTCGCCCAAACCTTCAACTTGGCATTGCTTCAAGACTCCACTGACTCTCCCGGACAGCCGGTTGATATAAGCTGGTGGCGTAAACTATCTGGCGATCTTCAAGCTATAAAACCAAACACTGCACTTTCTGGAGAGGAGAAGGGGTATGATCCGGAGACGGAGGACACTGCTATGGAGGCAAGTAATGATTACAGCGGGATAGCATCTGGCTCCATGGCAATGTTTAACGAGGAAGAGGAGAATGTGGCCGGCAAAGATAAGGATGCAAATGAATCTGATTATATGGACTCTGTCACCACCGCTGAGCCTCTGAATCCTACCACTGAGCAACCTGTGTCTCAAAACATCACAGATTCTACAACAACTGCAGCAACCAATCAAACAAACTTAATTGTCAACGCCACAGATGCCGAAGGAGATTTTTACAACTCAACAACATTTACTCAAAACTCAACAACTGTTCCTCAAAACTCAACAACAATTCCTCAAATCTCAACAACAATTCCTCAAAACTCAACAACAGTTCCTCAAAACCCAACAACTGCAGCAAACGCCACCAGCTTCCCGGATTATTTCAATCGTGCCGACTTCAACGGGACAACCCTTGCACCAGACGTCAACGCAACCCAAGAATCCACGGCAACATCGCAGAATAGCACAGCATGGGTTAATGCAACAGAACCCACCAAAACATCGACTGTAACACCTACAACCACTTCAACAGAGGCAGAGACCAGCAATACACCCACCGTATTTATATCAACGACTTTGCCTGATGCTTGGACCACAGAGATCGGAGAAATCACCACAACAGTTGCTCCTACGAATTCATCTGAGAGGGGCAACGACACAAACAAAGCTGCAGGCTCGGGGAGCAGCTCAGACAGAGGTAAAGCTGCAGTTTCAGGTGTCACAGTTTCTGGCACAGGTCTTCTTATGTGTCTTGAAATCTGCTGTGTCTTTGTAACAGTATGGTATCTCTGCATGGGTGGATATCAAGACAAAACTGATGTTTTTGTGCAATTCCAGGCAATTCCCACTGCCCTAAAGCCACTAGAAACCTAGATCCATAATAGCCCTTTAACTGTGTTATGAAAGCTTTAAGTGCAGATTTATTTCAATATCTCAATTCATGGTTGTTCCTCCAGGAGAGCAGTTTACATTCAGATAAACTGGGCGGTGAGAGGCTATTTGCTCTCAGATTACTTTGAATGATTCTAGGGATCTTATGGAGTAGCAAACTCAGAAACATGGTTGGAGTCTTGATGATTTATTCTGCTGGTTTCTGAAGTGGTGTGAACACCGGTCAACATCCTGAGTCAACATTAAGGAAACGCTGACTCATCCTAACTTTCTATCAGTCTTAACAGAGGCAGAGAGGTGGGTCTTTAGCCTCCAAGTAGTCATCAATGCACCTGCCAGTCAGTCATACCAGCCACACAGCAAGCCTGACATCTACAGCTTACAAATTCAGCTTTTGTCTGAAATGCTTAATTTGACCTACTTTAAGTTTCCCCTAGAACTCTGGAACCCAGCACTCTAGAAGCCTACTCCACCGCTGACATGTAACACAGTCAATATTAATGAGTGTTTCTCTGGCTAGAACAAAACATAATGAAACATGGCCGTATGTTTTAGACCGCAAATGTGACCAGAAGAGTTTGGAAAGGGAACAAAAAAAATCTCTGGGTACAAAAAACAGGCAAGGCGTCATTACCATGACATTTTATCGAAATACGCCAATTGGTCATATCATGAATTGAACAAATCTCGTGTGGATCTTAGTTTTCATGTCATGTTTTTGAACAAGCTTTGCAGGGCTTGGCTAGGCTGACTGAGACAGCTGCATGCAATTAGTAAAGCTCCCAGAGAAACTATCTTAGCCAGTGGGAGGTTAGTGTCTGACTTATTTCAGGGGCAGGTGTTGGAGCATCCATTGTGAGAATTCAGCTCTATAATAATATAGCTCTGGTTAATGTGATATAAATATAATTTAGTATCGTAGTTATAGTTCTGAGGACAAATAGGCCCATTAGGCTTACATTTAATGTGTACTAGCAGCTAATTATGATATTGTACTGAGTGTTTTGTTGTTTGTCATTCAGGGACTGACCAAGTGAGGTCAGTGAAAATGGATGGGGCCTCCAACCCTATATGGTCTTGGGAAATGGTCTAAATTAGACCTATTCAACTTCTGTGTGGACAGATAATTTCAAACAGACATAGGTATTAAATTAAAAAGGTTAAGCTTAGAAGGTAGCATAAAAGCAGAAATAAATTTATTAATAATAACAAAATTCTGTTAATTTTTAATCTCCTTTCAGTTTTTGTGTCACTAACACATCCAGAAGGTGTCTGTACGAGCTAGACAATCAAAGTGAACATTTCTGGCACCTTTGCACTACACTTTCATTAAACTCAGGCCTTATTAGTGTCAGTTTAAAAGACCCAACCGGTCTGTTTCTTAAGCTTTCTTAAGTTATGGCTGTTTGTTTTTTTATCATGATTAAAATGAGAACTTAATGAGACTCTCAGCTTGATATCAGATGTTTCAATCCACCTTTTCAGAGCCTCAAAGGTTTGAGTTATACTTTAACATAACAGGCATATATTTCTTCACAGCACACCTCTGGAGACTTGGTTTGAATGTAACACAATGCCCACTGCTTAACAGCATATATCCCCATTTCTTGTTTGACCCATGGCTTTTTCTTCCGCCCTTTCCCTGACCCACATTTGCCTGCATCTATTTTCCCACTAGCAGAGGACAAACAGCCCTCCTTTCAAAGGAAAAGGTTGGATTGGGTTTCAGGTGCTATCGATGCGGCTGCTGTGAGTAAAGGGGTCTATTACAGCCACCCTCCCAGCAGGACAATGAAACCCTGTTTTAGTGGATAAAAAACCCTGAAAGAGGCGGTCAGGGACTGAGGTCAGAGATACTTCTACTGCCTCTGAGCAGGGCGTGAGACTGTGCTGTGCTGTTGATCATGAGATTAAAGACAAAGAGCTGAAAAGGGCAAATCTATCTATCTATCTATCTATCTATCTATCTATCTATCTATCTATCTATCTATCTATCTATCTATCTATCTATCAAAGGTGTTTTTTCGTGGTAAAAAGAGGACAGGATAAAATACTTCTGGTGCAAACTACGTGGGTGAGCTCACCCCAAACATTGGAAACAGACAAAAAAGGCCCGCAGAGAGGTTTGGATTAAAATAAAACTCACATCACATAGACGGATGTGACAGTAGGACATAACACTAACAGACGATGACAATAAACAGAAGAAACACAGTTGTGAAACTGCAGGCAACACAGAAAAGAAAAACTAAGCTCAATAGAAACCATGACAGGTCCAGCGTGTACACAGAGACTGTACAAGAACAGCAGCGTGGGGATATGGAGTCTATAAGAATGACTGTACTTGGCCGAGAAAATCCTGTTCACCACAGACTCTGAAGGTGCTGACGTTATGGTAATGTAGCAAGAGGCAAACTGCTACAGTATCATTCAATTATTTACCGGATAGCATTTTTTGCCCTCAGCTTGTCAACATAGAATAAAGAGATTGATTTTTGGGGACCATTATAAAATTATCGATGAAAGAAAATTGGCGAGGTTCAAGTGCTTTGTTACATTAATCTCTAAATTCAAGATTAAAGCTTATGCACCACTTCTTTAGTGCAAACTGAGATGATATCTCCCACTGGATCCCAAATTTGGAGTCAGGATGTCCTAGGGGGTTCATGAGAAGCCCTCCAAAATAGGGAAACATTTTTTTGGGAGTTGCACAATTTTCCCTTTATTCTAAGTACAAATACAAAAAGTAGAACATTCAAATGTAACCACCCAAAAAGGTTTTTCAGGTCTGCTAATTTTCTCCACACAAGCTCAACTAAGCATTTGAGCCCTGAAGCCTAAGTTACTTGGTAAATTCACAGACTTTGTTTGGTTATTGTGGATATTTTCACTTTGACTTGCAACTTGGTAAGCAAGAATAATTTTGAGGTTTGAAGTAGAGGTCTGAGAGATGCTTGGTGGTTTGTCCTCGATGGCAGTATCAGCTGGTGTTCATCAAAGGCTACACTGTGGTCAGGTGATAACCCGAGAGATAGAGAGTTTCATTGATGCCAATGCCTTCTGCTTCCCACACCGACTTTTTTTCCACTGGTGTGTCAATGACACCAGATGAAACGCCAGTGGTAAAATTACTTTCGGACAACAAATGGAAACCAGAATGCTCCCAATCCTCGAAACATGTTGTCTGAATAGAGAGTACTCAAACAGTAGAAAGCCTTTTTGAATTCCAGGGTCTAACATCGAAAAGCGATGAAAAGTTCAAGGAGATGAATTCTTACGCGAGGCAATGAAAGAACCCTCAACCTTAGCAGTCTTTCCAACAGCTGAGGGGACATTTTAGTCAAAACTTCCACATTTTTATCTCATGTTGATGCAACAAACAATGTCTGTGAATATTCAAGGCCAGTAGGGGTTATTATCCAGAAAATAAGTTTACTTATTTATACTTAATTTCAGGCATTTTATTGAAGAATTGCTCAGCTTTGTTGGACTAAAGACGAGAACCAAAATAAGCAGGCAGACCAAAAGCTTATTATTCATTAAACCTGGCTGACATGATCCCAACAGTACAATAGGTTTAGAAAGGCGTCATCTACGTTTTTACAGCATACTTGTTTCTGATTTCTGGATTTATATTAAAAGCACATAAATTAACATGGAAAAAATCTTTTTAAACACGATGAAGGTGAAAAATAACCTCCTTTATTGGAGTAAACAAAGTTCTCAAGCCAACATTTAACTTGTCACCTCCTCTAAAATTCATGGAAAAATAAGATGCACCAAAAAAGTAAAGTTCATCCATATTTTATAATATCTTGTTTCCACCAAAATAATAAAATAGCATCTTGACAAAACAGGGTTTGATACACAGAGTATGAAAAAGGTCTTCTTGTTGGACTTGCCCCAAGTTATTGAGCAAATTGATCCCTGCAAAGTGAGTAAATTGAGCCATTTGTAGATAAAAAGAGCAGCTGAATTATTTATGCGGGAGTCCTGATAAAGTACAGATGCGGTATTTCCGTGTCAAAGGATATAGGAAACACTTCTGTCTCTCCCACCATCTGTCTCTTTCCCCACTGCGGTTACGTAAATAATCAGAAAAAGCTTGTTCTCTGTAAAGTACAAGCTCCACATATTCAGATTTACATATAGCATTAATTGTTGGAGTACAAAAGGTCGGTCTTGTTAGTGGAGGCGTGTGTCATCTTCCCACTTATATTTCTTTATTTTTATAGATGTAGCATCTGTATGATAATTTTCACACCTGTATGTAGAGAAGCTAATGACAGCAGAATAATTATCTCTGTGCCATACTTTCATGTCTGTGAATAAACAGGATCAGTTTGGTGATTCAGACTGTCGGTACATGAAGGCAAAGGTGATACGATGAGAAACAAAAAGAGATTCACAGCTTTTCTTCACAATGAGCGCAGCCTGCAGCCTCCAAATAATCAAATGAATTCCAGATATAATCATGATTTGGGGATGTTAATTGCATTAATTACTGCTGCGTCAATTATCCAAATCTGTACAGCTGACTAATTGGGATATGTGTCGATGCAGAGTGCTGCCAGAGGAAACATGATTTCCGAAGCGCATTTCAGCCGTAATTATCTGACAATTAACCCTCAAAGACAGCGGCTGATGTGAATAATTTTGCTGTTGACAAATTATTTATCACTGCCTCCCGTCTCCTCAACCTCTTATTTCTGCAATAAAGGTTTGGCATCAGATCCACCAAGCAAGAGACACTCAGCGTGGGGAGCCATACTGGGAACAGCCGTGGCGGTGATGTGCGTGGGACTGGTGGCGTACGTCATCCTCAAACACAAGCATCAGAAAGATTTCTCTCACAGGAAACTGGTGGAGGAGTTTCCCTCTGATCCAGGTGAGTTTTATACAGTTATTTTAGAGCCTGGTTAGTATTTTATGTGAAAAATCTGCCCCTGCTGTTGTTTACGCATTATTCAAACTGGGTTAAGGTAATGTCTAAAAAAACCCTTTAAATTATCTTATATTTTGCATCTGAAAAAAGTTCATATCAACAATGTAGAGTGTATCTTAATTTGGGAGTCGCACGAGTGCAGTAAAGTGTACCTAATAACCCAGGTTTTAAAATCTTTTATTCATATAAATGCTTCTCAGCTCCACCAGTGTGGTCTGAAACCATGACTTAAAGGTGGGAGACAGCGTCAGAGTACTTGTTCTGTGAAATACAGTGTTTTTGAAGGTGGCATCTCAAACTTGAAGCACTTGGGTGAAATTTTAATTCAGTTTGACACAAAGTGCATATTGCTTCTGACATGTCAGCTGAGCTATGTAGGAGTTTTAAAGTGAGATGTGATGTTCAAAGTGCAGGGCTGTCATTATTTTTCCATCACAGCTGCAGAAGGATGCAGAACAACACTATTGTGGCTTAACTATGGTGTGCCAAGAAAAAAAAGTTAATTTCAAACTTCAGTCACTTTATAATTCATATGTCAGTGCTGAAGGGTCTAATTTTACTCAAATGGATCCTTTCTGGCAGGCAAATGTTATGTTTTTAACATCATACTTAAAGCAAAGCATATGTAAAGCATACTAAAACAGCTTAAATGTGCTAATTTACATTGACTAAAATCACCTCACAGCAGTTGTGAGAGATCAAGATTACTGTGATAAGACTAGTTTAAACTCTCACATGGTGGCTGATCTGATAAGCAGTGAATTTACATGCCCCCAAGCCTTACACTGGTCTTTTGAAATGAACAAAGTGGTTCCTCCTGTTCTGAAGTGACAGATTTGTGATGAGAAGTTTAAAAAAGTAGTGCTCATCCTCTAAAACACTCTTGTATACAACACCTTATGACTGCTGAGACATTTATCACTCTAAAAACTTAACATCTTTTCTGTTTTTTTTCGTTATGTTTTTCTCAACGTAGATCCACACTGCGTGAACATACACAAAAGTTACATCTAGACTGATGAATGTTTAAAGTGATAGATTCTACACTGGACCAATTATTAAGGGTAAACAATACTTCTTCCATATCACTGAAAACTTTTCTTCAGAGCTGTTTCAGTTCAGTATTCCTTGACTGAAGTAAAAGCACAATCTGTCTCTATTTTGAGTGTTTTTTTAGTCCTATAGATAGTAGATAAGTCCTAAGACTGCATCCACAGTGGTCCCATGAGAGAGGCCTATTCTAGATGGAAAATATAACAACACTAGAGCAACAACAGGATGTGATTCAGTGGGTATTGATCCTGTAAAAACATGCAGAAGTTACATCGAATGCAATTTTCCGAAAGAGGAAAAAAGCGGGTAAGTCCAGCAGTGATAAACATGAACAGCATTTATTCTCTAAACAAATCTCTGTTGTTCAAAAGAGACCAAAACTTCTTTGGACACCAAAACTTCTTCGGAGAAGAGATTGCCTCGACAAACAATTGTTTGTTTTGCTTTGATTTTGATCGTTTTTCTGTCCTGGTCTTAGATTGCCTTATATCCTGCATTGTCGAACGTTGCTTTTATTTTGAAGTACACTTCTTACAGCAGATTGTAGAGCGGAATGAAAACAGTCACAACAACAGAAAGTATAAATATTCAGCTGATTATCAACCTAAGGAGGAATCATCTTTAATGTTGTTTTTTGGTGGTTAATGCCAATACTGGTATATATTATGAGCGCTCTAATAATTCCATGTAGAATTTTGCAAATTTGCTCCTCATCAGGAAATCTAACGGACCCTGCCTTATGATCTGGACTTTGACTCAACAGCAAGCATTACAAAAAACCTAAACATGCTTTTACAATAGAATAAAGAGGACTTGCCGTGCCCACTCTAGACTGAAAAACTCTGTCATAGACATTTTCAGACATGAAATCCGACATCAGGTCTTCTTGCTCCACCCTGTCCTCGTGTTACTCTTGTTACTTTGAAGTTAAGTGTGGTTAACTTCCTCGGTGTTCCCTCTTACCTTCAATCCGCCTTGTTTACCGCTACCTCTGTTAGGTGTAGTGATTTCCTACATGTCCCGAAAGACCTCCAAACAGCTCTGGGTAATGGGTAGGAGCCTGACTCTGTTGTACTTGCAGCTGCTGAGGACAAGGACTCTGGAGCATTGATGATAGCTCAGTCAAGAAAGAAAAGCTTCGTGTGAATGACTTGTTCGAGTGTTGGCTCACAATGAAAGCTCAGGGAGAAAACCCCTTATGAAAAACTTGAGGTAAAAACCAGAGAGTATACAGCTGAACGGTGGACTGTTAAAATATCGATGTGATGTTATGTTGGCTGTATTTGGCATCACAGAAAAGCTGCATTTACTGAAAACTAAATGTTTATTCAAGCAGCAATAAGGGTGGTTCAGAGGGCACTTTTCCCTCATATCACATTTTGATGCTCCATATGAATGGGTTTAAAAACATCTGACTGTGCAATTCAGCGCAAAAAACATATATGTTGGGTGTTTTCTTTTGCTCGATACATGTTTATAGTGAGGTTTTCAACTCCACACGTTTGCTAATAACTTTTCTCCTTTTCAGTCCTTAGATTGGACAACAACGAACCCTTGGACTTAAACTTCGGAGGACCAGCTTATTACAACCCAACTCTCCAGAGCGACAACATCCAAATGACCAACTTCCCAGGACGCCTGTGAAAACCGAAAGGACTCCACCAACCAAAGTGATGAACTCCCTGTTAAGAAAGTCTGCCAATCCCGCTCATTGGCATTTGATGGATGACCTATAATGTAGAGTTTTGTAAATAAGACTGTCTGATCGTGGCATTTGTGGAAGGAAATTACCGCGCAGATTGTAAAGGTCTGTTGTCAGCCACCACAAATGCCACTTATGTTAGATTATGCATTGTGCTGAGTAGATTTATTACATTGAAATAGAGGGAGGCAATCTGTCTGAACTACACTACACCAGCCAAAATTAACTGTCAGCCATTTGTGTATGTTGCCAAAGGGAATCAAATTAAGTCTTTCTGAATGAAGAATCTGCTCCGTAGTCAATGACGGATGATATAAATTAATACTTGTTACAGCTTTTGCTTTAGTTTTAATTATATTTGTGTGAATAGCAGCCACAAAATCTTATTAAGGACTCGCAAACACAGATTTGAACATATAATCAGATCAGATGGAGAAAAGATAAACAGGATGGGACTTGAACGACAGTGCTGCTGTTTTGTGGTCTAAAAATGACACGGCGTGCCAGACGAAGCCTTTGCAACAAATTTCAGGAGCCAAAGTGAACAATGATATTCATAACAATAATCACCTGCTGTAAGAGAGTAAAGATGGCAGTCAGAAGTTGAAATTGAACCACACTTTCCCGCATTTGGTATTTGGTAGTCACAGCCAGAGTCTGAGCATTGAACCATCAAACCAAAAGCTTGGGTTTGTTTTTTTTTTCTATCACACCAGGGATGGAGGGAGGAGGAGGAGAAGGAGGAGGAAGGGGGAGGCTGAGTGACTGCTTTGTTATTCATAGACGGAGGTTTTGGTATTCAGGGCGAGAGTTGTGTTATTTGGTCTTAGCAGCACTCAGCAGCAACAACTATATCATCATAATATCCTGCTTAAATCTTCTGACCTCCAGGTGTCCAAACAGAGAGTTTAGTGCCGCACGGTGACAGTCTGCACCTTGGGAAATTTACCTACTGTTACTTGCTGCATAGTTCGAGCAAAATTAGAAGATTTAAAACAGATTTTAAAATTATTATTCTTGTCATAACGTTCAGTGATCACATTCAGTAAGAAAAGTAATATTACGTATTTGAGAGGAGGGAATAGGCAGGGAATTTTCGATTATTCTATGTATTTAGTGCCTTTGTACAATAAAGATGAACAATATTTCATAGAGACTATTTTCTAAACTTTCCTACTTTGGTGTTGTATTTAAAAAAACACACTTTTATAACTATATATATGAAGAAAATCCATCCAGAAAATCCATCATCCGTCTTCCCTCAGTCCTTTCACTCATCATTACCTGTGAAGCCAGCGCTCGATCAATACGCTCTGTGATTATGATTGATACGTGCCTCGGCTCAGCCTAAACACCCAACAATAACTCTGTGATGTGTAATTTTTTTTGTGTGTGTGTGCTTAGACGGTTCGTCGGCAGGCACGGCAGGTCTCTGCTTCCTTCCTGGCTGTAATTTCAGACATCAATCAGAGCGAGTAGAGGCTTTTTTGTGCGAGTGAGCGAGGCTACTTTTGTGTCGCAGTGTTAGAGCATTGCAGTGATTACTGCAGAAACAATGCAGGGCAGATGGATAATGGGACACTTCTACATCAATTTGTGATATGTAATATAACTTAATGATGCTTTAATAAACACCCAAAACCTGACAAAATAAATGCTTTGTGGAGTTTTCTCTGTTTTCAGATAAGTTATCCTCCAATGACGGAGCATGAACAGGAACAGCTCTTTCGGGCATAAAACGATTAAAAACATATTAGGATAGGGAAGAATTTCTTTCATTCATCACAAAATTACTGTAGAGACGTTAGCCTGTTTTAATTAAGTAAGCACTTGAATATAAGATCTGATTATTTGGCAGAGGAGCTAAAATCAATTCTCCAATTTAAAACATGTACATATTTCATTAGGAGGTATTGGCAGGTTAATTTACACCTCCAGCTCAGTCAAATTAATTCAAATGAAATTAAATGATTGCCATCTAAATCGAGGCTATGTCAAACTTATTATTGGCTAAATTCAAATTCATTTTCCGCCAGATAAGTCACAGGAAATGAGTTGAACCTATAACATCAGCCTGATGTAATAACTTCCAATAACTGAGTCCTTATCAGATGATGATTCTGCACAACAATTAAATGGTCAACGGTGCATCATGCAGGAATCCTGAGATTGGTAATGAATGTGAGACCTTTGAGTCAGGTTGGAGGCTAATGAAGACAAACAGAGAAATTCAGGAAGACATGGACATATTCTCTGTAACAGGGTGTGAGAGCTCCGGCAGTGTGGCAAGATTAGTTGCAAAAATGGACATAATGCAGGTGCTGATGCTTTTTTCTGTATCTACTGGAAATGCCAACAGTAGGGCACAGATGCACTGACTCTACCATGCATCAAAATATTAAAGCCACTGTAAGGAGTTTTTGATAACTCAGCAGGGAATTAGAGGCATGGTAGACGATCAAGCCTAAAGCCTGGCTCGTGCTCCTGCACCTGACTTACATCCAAGCATTTGTTCTAGGTCCGCCTACTGTTCAGCATGTCAATAAAAAATGTTCCTGAGCCTGAAACAGTGCAGACTGCAAGCTCAATAATTGGTCGGCAAACATCTCTGGTTGTTAAACGCCCTATCTTCTCCAACAGAGGCTGAAGACACCATCTCTTCCTGCGTTTTCTCGCTCTCTCTCTTGTCTTTGTTGTCTCTTTTGTTCTTTGCAATAATTGCAGCATTAGCCACTGCTGCACAACATTTATCAGCTTCAACTCAGATATACAGTGTTCAGATTTAGTTGCCATGGTTTCCTGTAGACAAACAAGGACGGTATGTAGCAGGACTGAGTATACAGTGCGCAAACACATCACACTGCCAACTGGGTGAAGTGCTGTAGAGCTAAGCCAACACTCCAATGCAAAAATATGTTGTCTGCCTTTACTGCATAGCTGCAGTACAGGTCCGATGAACGAGTATAAACAAGACGTTACCCGACAGGAGTAAACTCTAGCTTTCTTCCTCCTTCTATGACCTCTTCTTTTTGGATCATGAAGTAATAGAGGACCTTATCTGATTGCAGGACAAGTTTGAAGTTTCTCCAACATTCTGAATAAGATACAAGCTTAAAAGCAAAATAAAGGATGGAGGACTTCTGAAAAGTTAAACCATGAGAGTGGCTGAGAGTTCAATGAAAATGAAAAGAAAAAAATACTACTGCAGAAAACACAAGTCTCTTTACAACTGAATCCTGTTATTGAGAACCTCTTTATATCCCTAAGGCACAATTTCATACCCTCTGACAGCTCGAGTCTGCAGTTGCATAGCTTAGCTTTGCACATACACTGAGAAAGATGACGACACAACGAGCGAGGCGCCATCTGTAGGTAACAAAATCTGCCTATGAGATTCCCTAAAGCTTCATCGAGGTGTGGAGTTGTCAGATTGCACTTTTACAGGTCCATATGTTTGACTATTTCTAAGTCAGAACCAGATACTTGTCAGGCCAAACACACCAGCCTTCAATCGCCAGTCAGCCACACCCATGGGATCCAGTCCCCTCAGACCTAAAGCTGTTTCCACAAATACTCCCCACTTTGAAAAGTAGAACTGTGTGCACAACAGCTGCCGTATCATCAAAGTTTATGTGTCTCAGCCTGAAATAGTGAGGAAAGTTTGAATCTGAGTTTGACTTTTATGCTCTTTGTGCAGCATTGCTGTGTAATGATGGTCATTTCTGAATCCAAATCGTCTCTGTCATGAATAAAGATCAGAGGAGCTGATTTAAGTCTCTGCTTTTCTTTCCACTGATGACCCACATTGAACTTAATGAAATAAAACACATCAGTACAACGGATTAAAACTCAGCGTGTCCCCAAAGACCTTAAATTTCCAAGTTTTCCTTAATAACCAGAGGGGAAGCTGCGGCATATGGAGCCTGATGCGCAGCTGCTGTTTCAGCCTCTGCTGTGAAGAAGCTGCCAAAGTAATCCGCAGAGATAAATTCATGTGAAAGGAAGAACAGCTTGAAACACCTGAGCGGCTCCTGGTATGGTGCACACAGGACATATTGATGTGTCTTTATGTCTTCATTCAGTGGATTTGTGACACAGAGGGAGAGTGACGGGAGTTTAACTTCTCAAAATGACGTTTTGGTGAAAAACTGTAAATACAAATAATTGAAATGTCAGCTGTCAGCTTCGCTCTGGGGTTGTGATTTACTTCTCATAGTTTTTCATTGTTCTTCTTTGTTGCCCAAGCTCTTATGCTTTATTTTAACCCGCTCTCTCCTGAAATCTGACATAAATGTTGCTCAAAGTAAAAAAAAATATATATATATTTATATCAATATATAAAATCAATACAACAGTTTAAATATATAAGCTGAGTTTAAGGTTTTAAAGTCTCACTCTGATCACTTTTAATTACTACCTAAAGTGTTCTCAGTGGTCTTTAAATTGTGATTATGAAGTTTCTATCAAACTTCATGTTACCTGTGTCATTTTCAAGGGTTTTTCTTCTGCAGAGCTTCAGTAGCTCATTAGCAATTTGCCTCTGAGTTGAGACGGCGCTGCTCTGCACACTCGTTTTCACGTTAGCTTGCAGCCTAGTGTTGCCGGTGTGGTAGAAGTGGCAGGTAACACAGGAGCTATTCAGCTTTTGGACACTAATGTCCTTAGAGACACGATGAAAGCTAATATCATAATTAGCTTACTAGCTTATTATTAGCTTAGGAGCGTTGCAATCCCCTAATGCACACGCTTGTTCCGCAGTCTTTCTCTGTATTTCTCCTCTATATGCAGAGTGTGGCCTGTACATTGGGGCTCTGGGGATTGAGCTTGGATCGGTTATGTATGAAATCTCACAGTTTCAGAACCTGCTGTTTGGATCTGCCAGAGAGTCACAGCGGTTTGAATGAAGAAATACTCAGAAAAGCAATTTCGCATTTAGTTTTCTCATGATATGTCCTGTAGCATCAGAAAAATGCCACATGATTTTCATCGGAGTGGGTCTTTAAGAAGTTGAACTTTTAGATGTGCTCCAGAGTTAAATCTGAGCTGCAGGCAGATGCTGTTATGCATCGAGCTAATCAGTGACCTATTCCATTAACACACTGAGGGTGCAGTCAGTGGGGTGGGTGTGGTCAAGTGCCCAAGGACACTGCAGTGTCGGCAGCGGGACCCAAAAACTTCTGATTAAAAGGGAACCATTCTCATCCCTGAGCCACAGCCAATGTATAGAAAAACAGCAGTTCTAGACCCCCCTCCTATAGTGAAAATGAACATAAACTAGCTTTTTGATCTAGCAACACCATGCTGGTACTGCTGCCTATCATGAAGGAACTTCTACTGCTTGATTTTGCTTCTGAAAATTAACCTCATAGTTTTAATTGGAAAAAAATATACAGATTTTTATTGGTTGTTTATTTTCCCCTAAGAGCTACTTCAGAATGTGGCATAACAGCGATTACATGATTAAGCTATAATAACATTGACGGTGAAACTAAAGATGATTTTTCATTAAGCACAAAACTTGTGCTGCTGTTTCTTGTGAGTGAAGGTATATTCAGAAAGAATTTGAACTGGATTTTTGCTTAATTGGGAAAACTAGGGCAAGCCCACAGGGAATGAAATAAGTGCATGTTTAATATTCCCTGAAGTACTCCACTATACTTTGTGTGTGTATGTGTGCAGGAGTGGAGTTGAAGGTATTGTTTTGAATTTTAAAAAGTACACCTACAGCTCAGACGGTAGTGACTTGAAAGAGATTCCTGGGGAGTATTTAAAGCTAACTCAATGGGATATGACAGAGAGAGAGAGAGTGAAATGAGGCCAAACAGCAGGTTAACATTCTTCCTCCATCACTGTCTAGGAGCACAGGTCGCTCGCTCTCTGCAGCTCCTACATTACCCATGTGTCTGACAGGGCGATTGTCTGTCATGGATCTTTCCAGACCGGTTGCTGCTGCTGTTGGGTCACTCGGGTGGATCTGAAAGGTCAGCGTTCTCCTCTGACAGAGCCCGGTATGGGAAAGATAAACAAATAGAAAAGGTTTCCAAATATACAGATGAGACAGGGGAGTGATATTTGCATACACAGCCAATGAATACTAAAGAGCGCTGTGTGAATAGAGCAGAGTTTCTGCTATCAGTTATGCAAACTAACATACCTGTAAACTTATGGAAACGGGGGAGGTATTCAAAGCACTGTCAGCTCCAGTTAGGGATTAGTTTAACGTTGCTTTAGCCTTTACATCTCTTCACTGACTGACGTTAAACAAGCTAAGATTATAATTATGTAATCTTAATTACACTTTGTGCAAACAATTGCAAAAACTAATTCTAAAGAGAATAAGTTGACTGAAACAGCTTCAATCATAAACTTTGAGTGGCAGTATGAGGATTTCATCTGTCATGATCTGTCACAGCCTGTATACAACATACAACAAGGTGCTCACACCTGCACCTGTGGAGTCAGTGTGGAGCTCTGAAAGTTGTCAGCAAAGTTTCCATGGAGATCTCCCACATGCTGAGGTTAAGCTCAGAGACAAGGTGCATACAAGTTGACAAAAGATGCTTGGTGCCACACTAATAAAGCAAAAACATGCTGCATTGGTGAGCTATGCAATCCTGTGTGCTGAAACCTCCAAAAATCAGGGGCTC